CATGCAGATAATAACATGGAATCATTGCTGTTAGAGTGAGAGGAGAGGAAGTTACACTTCTGGAAAGTTTTCAATTGTCCCTGAATGTGGGCGTAGCATGCAGATCTGACCTTTTGTTGCGGATCCTTTTAGCGTCATAGTTTTCAATTTGAGTGACGTATGTTTTTGTTCTGCCTTTGAACAATAGTGTGTGTGCTTTTGTTTGTGCATGTACAAGTGGCTGCTCTTGTTTTTGTGTGTTAGTGTGTTGATGTGCATACGTGTGCCTGTGGTGTACCAGGCAGAGAAAAAGTAGCAAAGCCACTAACAAGTTAATAAACTCCAGCTGGTCTTTGTTGTGCTGAGGACTCGACTATAGAGCTGAGCACATTCTCTGTAACTTAGCTCACACTTTTTCTCTTCAAACCAGAACTTAACCCAGAGCCACAAGTTCTCTAGTTCTGTCAATGAGTGTAAGTTCTGAATAGTGAGAATACTCATGCTCGCCATGCTTTTTGATAGATCACCCATACAAATACAATACAGAGAGCTAGGTTTTAGTGAGGCTGAAGAGCACACATGAGAACATTATTTATTTTTCAGTTCATAAATGTATTTTTCAAAGCTTAACGACTAGAAACGTGGTAAAACTAGGATAAATATTCAAGGTGCTTTTGAAAATGGAGGGGGGGGCTCCAATGTTTTGAATTTTGAGTGCAGTACCCATTTTAAAGGCTACATGAGTTACGTATTGCTCCTGTAAATTGGAATATGTTTGTAAAATGTAGTGGAGTAATAAAGCACAAGTACCCTACAGTTATACTAAACTGCGGTGCTTGATTGATTGTTACTAGGGTTGTTTCTAGCAACCGATTTCCCCGTCAATTAAACGGAAATTTAAAGAGTAGTCGTCTAGTCTAAAAGGTTAGAAAACACTGGACGCAGATGACCAAGTGGTAAGTCGTTGTACGGAGGTTAAAGTCATCTCAGTGGACTGTCCACGTTCAAGTCTGACTTTGCTGAAATGTGTGTCACTTTGCGACGTGTTTCTTACTCTTATCGGTAAATGCTGTGAAATTGGTTTGCAGTGGTAGCATCACCAGCCTTCTATGCTCCTTGCAGCTTTAAGTCTATAGACCTGTGCTGAATGTGGTTATGCATTGCACCAGTTGAGTGGTTATATGCCAGTGTACCTGCGCTGCTCCTTTGTCCACTGTGCTGGTTTACATCCTGGCAGTAGAGCAGGGAGATCAGGCCCATTATCCGGAGCTGCTGTCCTGTCGAATGGTGAGTGGCTGCGATACGGCTTAGACAGAATATTTAACTGTCTTGGGCCTACATATAGATTATATTGATAATCAGTTAAACTGCGACTAGTACTTCTGATGACGACTAGCGAGGATGACGACAAATCCTCTAAACCACAAACATTAAGTTTGCAAATGTCTTTGCAAGTCTCTATTTTTTATTCTTCACTGCTGCTTTCCGCTGGTATGTAACAAGTTTTTACCTCTTAATAATATATAATATGCGTGCTTCTAAACAGGATGCGTGCAGTTGTCACACCTTTTTTTACGTCCTTACTTAATTCAAGTGTGCCTCGTTTCACAATATGTAATTCACTCTCAGTTGCCATCCGAGCTAAAACTAGTAGTCTAATGAAATTGGTAATAGTCTCATGAAAGTTGTCATTGTCAAAAACAGCTTCCTTTGTGATTATGTGATTACTGTAGATGCATGTTGTGTTTTCTTTTACTGAGATGTTTAAAATGCTTTTCATCCCCTTTCCTAGGATAAAAAAAATAATTAAATAAAAACTATGCCAATTGAACCATTAAAATTCAAAATCAATACAAACCAGGACTTCAACTAGGGGATATTATCATTACCCTTTTGATTAAGCCAACAGTAACTGGACAAAATCATACATATACCCCTCAGTATAGATAACACCATAGACCGGGAGTTGACTGTTTTGGGTTATTTCTCTCCATCGTAAACATCATCCCATTGAAGGTCATTTTCCCATCTGTCACTCTGCCCACCATCTGTCTCTCCAACACACACATTTCACACACTATAAGACAATGTCAATAGTTGTCTGTGCATCGGGGGTCGTTCAGCTTTTCAGGGCATACAGTTGCTGTACCAGAGCTCTTTGTCAGAGCTTTCACATTTCACTAGACTTCTGACCGATTACTTCATGGCATTGCAATGAATGTATAGCGTGACAGCACACACACAGTTCATCACAAGCTGTGCTCCACCCCTTTAACGGCTGCAGAAAGTGAGCTTGTTTCAGCTTTGATGTTCAGACGGAACAAACTCTTGTTTTTTTGTGTCTGACAATGTCTCGATGTAGGTATAAAAGTGTTTATTCACGTTCACATTCTCACAGTCATCGTGAAGCAGAAGTTGATAACTTGCAGTGGCAGAATTGTACTTAATATCAGTAATAGCTCTGCCCAAAAGCATCATTAATTTTGAGTTTTATTTCAGTAAAGTTGAAAAGACTCATTTGATAAAAACTAAATTCTGCATTGATTCAGCATATTTAATTCCTTATAATGGCTTAATTCTTAAACATTTTAGGTGTTGCATGAATTTAGTGTAATTAAATATAAACTACCTGTAATTGAAAATATAAACTACAAAATGTTGTTGTTGCTCTTTTTCCGTTTGAGTTGGAAAAAGGACTTGACCCAGACATATAATCATCTAGATATTCATTGGCTACACCAGAAGCACTTAAATATTGGTCTTGGCCACTGAGGTCACATAGCTGATTGGTCATTAGAATTACATTCTGGAAAACGACTTTTGTTTTATCATCCCAGTTTGTCAAACATCCTGAATGTGATATTAGACCTTCAGTTGCATCTTAAAATAAAAGCGCTAAAGAAGCCACAGTGGGTTGGTGTTGGTAGGGGTAAAAAAAAAGTTTGTGTGGGGGTGTGAGAGAGAGAGAGAGAGAGAGAGAGAGACATCCATCAAAGCTCATTTCCAACAGTCTCATATCTCTCCTCACCACACACACGAAAACCCCAGAAACACTCCAACCACCAGAGACAGAACGAGAGAGAGAGAGAGTGAGTTATGGAGCGATGGAGAGATGAAGAGGGGGAGTAAGAGAGAGAGAGATAGTGAGAGGAGAGCAGGAGAGGACAAAGTGAGAGAGTGAGAGAGCACTTTCTATTTATAGCGCGTGAGCCCGGAGAGGAGGAAGACTGTTGTTCGAAAGCACACTCAGTGCCTATGATTTTGTTCTGCAGTGTACAGGCTGCCTCTTAAAAGATGCATGAATAGAAACATGCTATATATACATGCTGTACAAATTATACACCATGTGGGTGGTTAGATGGGTCATAACTGTGAAAATAAATGGCTGTTTGAAAGGCTGATGAGAGGAGGGATGTGATTGGTCCAGTAATCATTCACCTCCCTCAGTGCCCTACATGGAGAGAAACTGTGTGTGTGTGTGTGTGTGCATGCGTGCGTGTGTTTGTGTGTGTGTGTGTTTAGGGCTGTGATCATGCATGCACACAGATCCTCGGCGGTGTTGTAAGCTGTCACTCACTGACAGTTCAGCCTGATTAAAGCAACAGTCACAATACATGACAGGTAATTCTGAATCTCATCATCCCCCTCACTTACTCAGCCTTCAGGCCAAAAGATTTCCAATGAGATTCAGCAATTAGGTTTCACAAAATGTGGTGTGCATACACAAAGAGACACTCTTACTATTTTAAGAATAGTTATACTGCTAATGCACACTCAAGGTGCTCTGCTCACTCTTGTGATGAAGGCTAAAAGCTTTCACTCAGTGGTGAACAGTTTAATTAGTTCCATTTTTGTAATTGAACAATTTCCTGCAGGGACTGAGCTGTTTTTTACTTAGTCTGTTAATTAATGGTTCCATTTTTGGTTTATTCCCAGTCTCCAGCCTTCTTTCCTCTGGTTAGTACTTAGTTGTTGTTCCTCTCATCTCCTTACCCCCCATAAGAATAGAAACAAGGTGAATGTATCCCTCATTCAGAGTTGGAATAAATAGATAGCATTTTCAGTTAAAGTTAAGTCTGTACAAGTTTAGCAACGAAGTGATTCAGTTGAAAATAATGGTGTCTATAAGTGTGATAGGTCTTTGTTTAAAATTCCATTTAATTCTTGATCATTTTAAGCAGATTCCAGACTCTCTCTCTCTCTCTCACACACACACACACACACACACACACACACACACACACACACACACGTTTTATTTTATTTTTCAAAAGACAATTAACAGTATTGAACTTTATTCTTTATTATAAATTTATTATGTCATACAGTACAACTTCGTAATCACATGGAGTAGTCATAAGGTTTGTTCTTGAACTCGCAAAGACTGTTTTTGTAAAATTATAAACAGTTCATCAAGAAATAGTTTACCAGAGTTTTCAATTAAAGTCAAATGAGAACACAGGACTGTACACCGCTCACAGATTCGTCTTTATTTCTTACATCACTCTAACGTGCACACACAAACTTTTTCTTGTCTTTGCGAATCTGCTGTCTCTTTAATACAGGCTGGGTTAGTAGTACCAGTTATTTCCAGCACCTCTCTGTGGGCCTAAAAATAGAACACACACACACACACACACACACACACACACACACACACACACACGTTCATTTTGTTCTACTTCTTCACCCCTATGTGAGATGGTCTGGTTTTGACATCCAGGTGTTCTTTAGTTTATTTGTAATTTGTCTGCAAGCTCTCCCCTGGACACCCACTGATACTCTGCTGTGCACACATTTCTTCACCGTTCTTTTTTTGTTTCATGCAGATGCTTTGTCTGTAATTTTAAACTGATTCACTGTGATTTTATTTGACTGTTTTTTGTGTCTACATCATTGTCTGTGAGTCACAGACTCTTTTGTATAAACCAACTTCTGCTACAGTTTAAAGTTGGTGCATGCCCAAGTCTCCCAGTCATTAAACATTTCTGCCCTCCCCCTCTGTTCCTGTCTCTCTGCAGCATCAGACAACAGCCAGAGATTTCAGGAGACGTGTTTCGCCTTTGCATTAACGCCACAGCAAGTCCAGCAGATCAGCAGCTCGATGTAAGATGCACACTGCTCCATCAATGCTGGACTCTGTATCATTCATGAATTATTCACACTGTACATGGTTTCTGTCGATGTGTGGTGACCAATTTGTTTCTGTGCTCAAAGGGACATCTCGGGGAACAAATGTGACTTCTCAGTTCAAGTCCAGTTGCGGTTTTGCCTGTCGGAGACAAGCTGTCCTCAGGAAGACCATTTCCCACCCAATCTGTGTGTGAAAGTTAACGGAAAGCCGTGTAACCTGCCGGTGAGGAGCTCTGCTTTTACAACATTGACAGCCATCCAGCATGTTTGTGTTTTCCTTGAAGAGTGAAAGAATTAAAAAACAAGAAGGAACATGTTTTTTTATTCTTGTCTTTCATCTAGGGTTATCTTCCTCCAACCAAAAATGGCGTCGAGCCGAAGCGGCCCAGCCGGCCCATCAACATTACCTCACTGGTCAGATTGTCCACCACAGTTCCTAATACCATTGTGGTGTCGTGGACCGCTGAGATTGGACGGGTAAGAACCAAAGTTTCACCGTTTCTGACAGCGGATATTGAACATGACTGATAATGTAATTTATTATTATTATTCTATTTATTTATTCTATTTATTGAATCATGACGGTGCACTTTAATCAACATGCGTTGATGTAAATCTGTTGGAATTAGCACGATTGCTAAATTTCCTCCATAGCTATGAGGCAGGCACTCATAAAAAGACATTAAAACAACTTTAACAATTAGAGAACACCTCAAAGGACAGTCCACCAGACGAAACACTCAGGAAGCTCACAAACAGTTTTACTTACAAATGGACACGTTTGATTTATTACAAGTAGAAGACCCACATATGGTGAGCAGGTTAAATGCAAGAAGAGCCAGAAGCCCCGAGGAACAGAGACAGATAATTTGATTGGTTTGTTTGAACCAATGATTGATTTTATTTTCAAAGGTTGAGTAGTTGTCACAATCCCTGATACATTCCTTTGTTCAAGACATGTGTGCCTCTTAACATACACCACATTAGACTGAAGTCATTTCTGACTCAAATCAAAACTGTCCTCGTTAAATATGTTGTACTTATGATACTGCGATGCTGAAAAAGGAAACAGATTCCTGTCCAAAACGTTGTCTCTTCAGAGTAAGATCTCGAAACACTTGCTTCTTTAAATTTTCTGTGATCTAACAATGGGCTTGTTTTTCCTCTTTCTTGACCTCATACACTGTTGTTGTGGTTGTTTTGGTTTATGAAATGTTATACAGACATTTTAAAATGGTCCAATTACCGTATAGTTTTTTTTGTGTGTAATAACTTTTGGCTCATACACAAGGAGTATTTGTTCCCTTTGTTTTAATAAATGCTTTAATCTATCTAGAATAACAATAAAAATACATGTATGACCTATTTCTTAATAAGCATACATACAGTACTTCTATTTTAAATAGATATTTTGTTAATGCAAACCAGAGCAGGAGGGTCTGCTAACTTAAGTCACCTTGAATAATAAGCTTCTTTGATGACGCTCTCTATGTTTGGCCCAGGACAGTTTGTGTGTCTATGTGGAGTTTAAAGTATTTGTTTTCACATTATTATTATGACATTTCTTGATGGGGTCTTGTGTGTCCACAGAGTTACTCCATGGCGGTGTACTTGGTGAAGCAGCAGTCCTCCACAGTGCTCTTACAGAGACTACGGGCTAAAGGCATCAGAAACCCAGACCACTCCAGAGCTCTCAGTAAGGACTGCCAAGCTCTTCTTTTTCAGAAATCCAAACCGCTGCATCAATTTCATTATAAATGTTGACCTTATTTCGCAGTCAAGTGTTCAGACTGATCCACTAAAAAAACAAAAGATTCATATATTCAGTCAGTGTAGGTGGCCTGTCTTAAAAATTCAAGACAGGCAACCTACTTAGTTTTTTGGCACCACAGCAGCCTCTTACTTATTTAATCCTACAGGAAGAAATGCCCTAGGAGACTTTCACACAGTAATGTATACAGATTTTAAAATGTGGGATAAAAAGCAAAATCATAGCAGAATAATTGGCAAAGAAAAAGTTGAAATATTACATTCCAACATTTTTCCCTATAAATGAAACCTATGTGAGTGTTTTTGGTCCTATGATGTTTATAAAAGACAGATATGTATACTGGACGATATGTGTTGTTATGACAACAGTTTTGTCGTTTTTTTTTTATTTAAGTGAATGTATTGAATATTTGTGAATCAAAATGTGGTAAGGCTGTTTGTGAAATATGTTTCTCATTCTACATTTCTTTTATTGCTGTATAGACATTTACACATAAAATAACTTTCCAGTGTGTTCAGTTGATCATATATACATATATATTGTTCTTCAAAGTTATTGTACTATTTTAATAAATGTTATACTTCCTGGAAGGTATTAGAAGAAGTTTAAGTGCAAAGGGGATTCGGTCAGTCCAATAAATCATGTAGCGCTCTTGAATGCTGCTTCATTCGTGACCTTGTTTTGCAAAAGTAGTAAATGAGTTTCAGTCTGAATTAAGCTGAACTAAGCAGATTGTGCCCCCCCCGTCTGTCTGTCTGTCTGTCTGTCTCTCTCTCTCTCTGTCTCTCTCTCTCTCTCTCTCTCTCTCTCTCTCTCTCTCTCTCTCTCTCTCTCTCTCTCTCTCTCTCTCTGTCTCTCTCTCTCCTCTCTCTCTCTCTCTCTCTCTCTCTCTCTGTCTGTCTCTCTCTCTCTTCCTCTCTCTCTCTCTCTGTCTCTCTGTCTCTCTCTCTCTCTCTCTCTTCTCTCTCTCTCTCTCCCTCTCTCTCTCTGTCTCTCTCTCTGTCTCTCTCTCTCTCTCTCTCTCTCTCTCTCTCTCTCTCTCTCTCTCTCTGTCTCTCTCTCTCCCTCTCTCTCTCTCTGTCTCTCTCTCTCTCTCTCTCTCTCTCTCTCTCTCTATCTCTCTCTGATGTGTGGTTCACTTTCCTCCTGCAGTCAAAGAGAAGCTCACAGCAGACCCAGACAGTGAAATTGCCACGACCAGCCTTCGAGTGTCGCTGCTCTGTCCGGTAAACAGTCATCCTGCTCCTCATCAATTCTGAGGCTTTTATTTTTTTTTCTTTAGAGATTCAGTCTTGCCAAGAAATGTCGGTCTATTTTTTCTTTTTTTTTCTTTATACTTGTCTCAACATGTCTGCATGTCCTTAACTCTGGGTCGTGCATATGATCCCCCTGTCCATTTCTCTCCTCATGCCTTATCATCTTCACATCTGGGTCATGTGTACATTTATGCATCCCCCATCCCTGCTGTGTGTGTGTGTGTGTGTGTGTGTGTGTGTGTGTGTGTGTGTGTGTGTGTGTGTGTGTGTGTGTGTGTGTGTGTGTGTGTGTGTGTGTGTGTGTGTGTGTGTGTGTGTGTGTCCTCTTCATGCCCTGACTTCATGTTTGTTTGCGCTGTGCAGCTGGGGAAGATGCGGCTGATGATTCCGTGCCGAGCACTGACATGCTCCCACCTGCAGTGCTTTGACGCCACACTCTACATCCAGATGAACGAGAAGAAGCCCACCTGGGTGTGTCCTGTCTGTGACAAGAAGGCCCCCTATGAGCACCTCATCATCGACGGGTTAGTCCCCCATCCCCCCCATCTCCCCCTTTATACAGATTACCTGTCAGGAAACAGTGTGAAGCCTTTCTAGTAGAAAATTTAACCAAAACAACAAAACTCTAATTGGAACAGACAACTCGTCATGTACCGTTTCAATGAGGGAGTTTCCGATGTACCGGAAGGTGTATTTTTCTACCTGAAATATGAGATTTTTTTTTGTCCTTTTTAAAAAAACTTTTGCCAAGAAAGCAAATTTTGACAAATAACCATATGTTCAACACTGAGCTTGACTTGAGATTGTTTTTTGTCAAATGACTGTTTCCGTCATTAAGAATTAATTACTAGGGGCGCTGGTAGCACAGTGGTTAGTGAGCGCGCCCCTAGTATGGAGGCTGTAGTCCTCCAGGCGGGCGGCCCGGGTTCGAATCCAAACTGTGGCTCCTTTCCCGCATGTCATTCCCCACTCTCTCTCTCCCTGATTTCTCTGTCCACTGACACTGATGTGTCTCTACAATAAAGGCACAAAACGCCCAAAAAGCTAATTTCAGACTCTAAAAAGAAGTGTTAATCTGCATTTGTGTGTCAAAGAAAATGTCAACTCAAGGTCCACTTGTTAGATTATTTTTGCTCATATTTTTAACTAAATCTATATATATATATATATATATATATATATGTGTATATATTAAATATTATCTCAAGTTGTTGGTTTTTACAATAGAGTTGTACCACTTGGTTAATTGTTAAAAACAATCGAAAAACCGACTTTTAAAGAATCAATAAAGTGTTTCAGTTTTTTCTTGTCTGGCACAACTCTGAACTTCTGCTGCTCACAAAAGGTTTCTCAATCCCATTCATCTTTAGACTTTTGTAGCAAGCAAACATTTTTTATTGAAATAAATATTGAAGTTTATCAATACGGCATGTTTAAAAACATGCTGCATTGATAAAAGGAGAGTTTGACAAGAGTGCTTCACAAATAAAATGGAATTGTACAACAACAGCAACGTCGGCTTAGATTCACAGCATGAATGTTCGATTCATGAGAAGTGTGTGAAGAATGTTTGTGAAGTAGCCTGCAGGTGATGAGCATATTATTGAAAAAGACAGAGTGTCCTTTCACTCACTGGAGTGTTTCATGCAGAGAGCCCTTTACAGAGCAGTGTTGATGTTAGACTGTTTAGAATAGACTTTATGTTTCTAAGAACTCATTTGAAGTGAAGGGGCTTTCCACTCTCCTCAGCCTTTGTTTAAAAACCTCCACTAATTTCTGTGTGTTTGTGTACATTTTCTTGGCTGTGTTTGTGCATGACGTGTGTGTTTGCTCTCAGGCTTTTCGTGGAGATCCTGAACAGCTGCACGGACTGTGATGAGATCCAGTTTAAGAGGATGGCAGCTGGGCCCCCATGAGGTCTAAGAAGGAAGTGCAAGAGGTCTCCTCTGCCTCATACAATAACGGGCTGGATGGTGAGACATGTCATGGGAGATGAGTGGGGACAGGGTGGGATGAGAAACAGAAAGGATGCTTGTTTGAGCGGTAGGGGTAAGGTTACTCACGTCATGACGGCAGTGAGACAAAGCTGGGAGTAATTAAATGAGTATTATAGGATTCACGTAAGAGGAGAGGGCTCTTCATAGCGTTTACATCCCCACCCCTTTTTGTTTATGCATTGTCAGATTTGATTAGGTGAGGCATCAATCAGAAAGCCACAGAGTAAACCGCCTGTCTCCATAGTAACATACTGTATCACATATGTGGGCAAAGGGAATGTGCGTCCTCATCACAGTACTGGCAGAAAATCATGATTTGAAATCTAAAAACACACTGAAAGATCATTTTGCTGCTTCTCTGCAGATTCATGTCGGACGTCTTCAGGCTCAGATCAGCGGAGCTCCTCGTCGTCCAGCCACGGCAACAGCAGCAGCAACAACAGCAAAAAAGTAGAGGTGATCGACTTGACACTCGACAGCTCCTCAGAAGATGAAGGACCAGATTCACCACCTCCGCCGCCGCCTCCACTCCCGCCTCCACCCAAAAGAGCATGCCCCTCTTTGTCCCCAACCTCGCCGCCTGTCATCAACAAAGGGTCAGACACAGCAACACTGTGATTGCATCTTTCTCCATACACTCTTTGTGTTCTGTAAAATGTGGAAATAAGGCTCATTTCAGCTGTTCAAGTGGGGAGTTATGTATCAGGATCTTTGGAGTTTTGCACTCGAGCTCACAATTATGTTTTTATGTTTCATTTTTTTTTAGCACTCAGAGAAGTTGGCCGAGCGTTCTAGCTGAAGAGGCCCTGAGTCTTATTTCCTTTTTTGAGAATTAAACTAGAGAAAGGAAAATTTTTAAATTTCTGCACAAAATAATTTTGAAAAGTTTGTTCATAAGCGGAACAAAAACAAGATTTAATTAAATCATGGAGTATCAGGAATGATTGCTTAATATTTATAAGCTTACAAACAGATTTTATAGCACAGAAGTCAGAAGACTGGCTGGAAAATTGTTGTTATTTAAAAAAAAAAAAATGCAAAATGTGTATGTACACATCTTGTTGGCAAAGATCAACTACAAATCCCAGAGTTCATCCCTGTAAGAGACATTTAATCACTGAGTTTAACATAATGTGTCACAATCAGCTCCAGACTGTGCTGTTATCACCTGTACATTCATCAGGTCAGTCTTTGGCTAAATTCAGCGACATACTGCCACATTCTGTGAACTACAACATCAATCCTCTACTGCTCTGGTTTGGGTCTCTATGTTCCTCTCCATAGCAACAGTGGCAGAGGCTCATAGGTGTTTGAGTTTTGAGAACCATCATTCTTACCTAAATGATGGATAAAGAAAATGGTTTTATTATCCGACTGTATAATCAGTACATTATCCAGAGAAGTCCTGTGTTTGCAAGTTAGTAAAATATTTAGTTGAAAGACAATCCTGAAATGAAAATGCAGACTGAAGAGAAATATTTTACAAAGCAGCGGCCCTTCTGGTGGTACTGAAGAAGTTAATTCAAGCTCTGTAAAACTTCAACATCTGTTTTCTGTCAAATTAAAATTCATTTTGTGGATCTGCGTAGAAACCCAAGCACTCCGTCCCCTTTTTGATGAACCCTGTAGCTGTCAGTCTTCACACTTTTGTGCTTCAAGGTCGCCAGAGGACACATGAAATGAAAGCCTAATTATTTATTAAAAAGTCTTGTGCACCTCTTCATCTTTAAGCCTCCTCTCCCTCCTCTTCTTTCAGAGTGTTGAACCTGCACCACCAGGCGTCTCCCCTGAGCCGAACTCCCAGCATGCCCGCTGTGGACACCAGCTACATCCCTCCTGTCCCTCCACTTATACAGGACTACAGACCGTACTACCACACCCCCAATGACCTGTCAGGTACTGACAAACACACCCTGAACCACAGATGATTTAGAAATACTCCATTTAGTTTGAACACACTTATAAATCTCTTAGGAATATTACGTCCCATTCCAATTGTCCTCAGATATAAAATATTGTATTTCAGAATTGATATCCTTCAAATACAATATTTACAATCTGAGATGATGAACATTGATCGATTTAACTTATTTATATTCAACCATGAAAAGTAATTAAAACGGCTTCATCAAGAGTTGGAACAAACAGATACACACAAAGTGTTAATAGTCATGTAATCTAAAAACATTTCAACGCAGTAAACTGTATATCTGTGTTTATACTTACTTACAGTAAAAACACATTGTTTTATTTGCATTTGTGAGATGAATTTTTGTTGAACGCTCAGCATTGACGGTCTGTGCTTTAATTCCAGAGTTGAACTTCTTCTCTTTTCTCCAAGGCGACAATCACCAGGTTCGTACATCAGAGCATCACACCATGACAATGACTCACTGTTTGAATTCATGAATGACGCAATAATTAACATCAACCACTGTATCTGTTCTTATCAAAGTAATCCAGAGAAACCCTTCACTGAGTGTATGACAAAGTCCTTTTTAGGAGTGAACATAGCAGTGATGAAAGATATGACTAATCATCACATTTTAAAGTATCAGACTTAACTTCTATCGCCCATAAACTGTCACACAGTCGGCTGCTGGTCATCTCAGCTGCCAATGTCGGTTTAACCTTGCAGTTATGTTGGTTGAATTATTTGAGGTAGTTAAAATTAAATAACAATGGGGCGCCGGAAAGCCTAGCGGTTATGTCCCGCATCCCTGTAGTCCTTGTTGCAGCAGCCGTGGGTTCAAATTTGAATTTGAATTTATTTATTTGATAGGGACAATGCAATTTAACATAATTTCAATACAAAGCATGAAACTGATGTGCTGCATAAAGAGTATATAATAGCTATTGCTAATTTCCAACTCGTGTCCCCAGTTGGGCCAGAAATCCGACCTCTGTTCTTTGCTGCATGTTATCCCGCTCTCTCTGCGTCCAACAGGTCCTCTCTATTCAGCGGTCCTATCCAATAAATCTAAAAATGGCCTGAAAATACCTTTAAAAAAAGATAGTTCTTTATTTCTGATACTTTTACGTTCAGCTCTGTTTGGTTCTTATATTTAAAACCAACATTTTAACAACCCAAATTACAAAAGAGGGTTTTTTTCTGACTTGGTGCAATATCTAAAGAAGATTCTCGAACGGTTTAATTTTGATTTTTTTATTTTTTCCTTGTGAGGGTGAAAGAATTTCATAATGCGCTTCATACAGAATCATAAAATTACATATAAGATATTTAACATCTCCTCCAGGCATCACTGTGAACAGTCTCCTAGTTTTCTTCTGGTAAATTGCTGCTCCTTAATGAAGACTATAGGCAGAGCTTTCTGTAGATAAGCAGAGATATTGCCTCTGAAATGATCTTGCTGGTGAATTTTTTTAATGTATTTTGAAGCTCTAAGCTAAGCATCACTAAAGAGCAAAGCCTAAACTACTAGCACAGCTGAATATCAGATGAGATAAGTATATGTATATATTTATCTATATAGTATGTTTTAAACAGTAAAGGGACGACAGACGACTTTGCTGTGTCAGGACATATGATTTGAAATATCATTTCACAGAAGGAAAAGATTAATCCAAAAGATTAATAACACATTTTAAAATCCCTGGATTATTCTGCATATCCCACCTGTGGCTTCAGCTGAATAATGTCACCAATAATATCAACTGTCTCGAGATTCTTGTGATTAATGTGTGACCTCAGCTACAGTGTGCTTTCGAAAAAGTCCATAAATGTTGCACTGTTACCAAACTCTGGAACATTTAAGCTCGTTATCTTGCCTCTTGCCTTGACCTTGCCTTTTTCCAGACTCACTAGCAAACGTCAGTGCTCAACGGCTTTGTGAAGATTTGCGCAGCTATAAGCTCAAAAATTATATCTACAATGGCAATAACATAAAATGAGATAATAGCATGACAAATAGGACTTCAAACACACATACATAGCTACTTTTAGTAGTTGGATCAATTCTGAAAATTAAGAGATGTAAACCTATGTCTGATGATCTCTTCTTGCCCTCTTGTGTTTCACACGCCCTTCAGCATTACAACATGGTGATGGCAGCAGCGGCCGCCGCTTCAGCCTCAGACGACCACGAGCTGCTTCTCAACCGCTTTCTCCCCTACACCACCTCCTCCTCCTCTTCGTCCCAGCTCTACTTAGACCAATCGGGAGCATCCTCGGTCAACTCGCTGACCGGGCAGACCAACGGGGCGAGCAACTCAGGCAGCACCAGCAGCCTGGTCTCGTCCAGCAGCCTGCGCGACACACACTCCACGCACTCGTCCTCACACTCCTCACACACACACCCCGGGGTGGTGGCCAGCAGGAGTAGCGCTGAGGCGGCAGTGGCAGCTATTTACGGCGGAATACCTGACGTTATATCATTGGACTGACTCGAGAAGAGTCGGGACTACACTTTGGGTCCAGCTGTTATCCGGTAACAAACATTTTACTGCAGGGTAAAGTTTTGATCCAGAAACTAGACTGGCCCCAAGTCTAGAAACTCATATAAGGGGTCATAATAAAAAGACAACCTATGGAGGAGCACTACTGTTAAGAGTGTGTAACTCTGAGTGCTGACGGTTCCTTTCTCTTTGACTGACCTGAGAACAGCACAGAGTCCTCATTTGAAGGGGTCAGCTGTGGACATGGCGCGTTGGTGAACTGACTTCAGATCAGAAGAAACCTGCGCAGGAGTTTACTGCCACACTACCGACCCCGCACAAGCAGCAGAGAAGCTACCTGAGCAAAAAAAGCAAAAGAGGACGTCTCTTCTTTTTTTTTACAAAACAGACGAGTGGCGCCGTGTACAGAGAACAAAATATATTTTCCTCTTTTACTTTTGTATGTTAAATCAGAACATATTCAGTCTAGTGAGCTTCTTCAATCGCGTTTCTCCAGTGGACGACTGAGGTTGCTTGTTAGTTCTCACAGAAGCCCATACAGTACATACGCCTGTTGCCATGTGTTTATCCTTTCCTTCTGTTTGAGGCTCTTTCCTGCTTTGTTGTTTGTTTGTTTTTTCTTTTCTCCTTTAGAGACTTTAGTTCCCCTTTGCTTTTTATCTTTCTGGAGCTCTTTTTCGTCGTGATGAATTATGATTTCATCTATGTTATGACGAGAACTTTTTAGACACTGAATTTACAGTTTATTCATGTTCTAATAATTTTATTCTGCGTTTAGTTGTGTATACTATTTAAACATTTATAAATATCTATAAATATATAAATATGCATTCCCTCTGACCTTCAGGTGAATACTGTGGGGAGTGTGTAGGCATTTTTTTATAAATATTCTCTCCTTGATTTCCACCTTCACACAAAGACTTTGCAGACATACAGCATTTAGAAGAGGAGATTTTTAGACTATTTATACTCGCCAATTTTGAAGTTTTGAGCTGGAAGCGTATCTTTCTTTTTCTTTGCACAATGCCAAAAATAACATGCGATACCTTTGAAAAGGATAATGAAAGTGGAGATGAATCTGTGTGCCAGTGTTTTCAGTCAAGTGTCTACTCCTATGTTTTCAGCTGGTGTGTTTTTTTTTTGTGACACTTCAACTTTTATGTCCTTCTGTGTCTTGTCGTCTCAGTGTCTATGTTTTGTGCTTGACTGTTAAAAAGGAGTCACGATGAAAAGTCAAGCATCAGGCCTTTTTATAAAAACAGACGGGTTATAATGACATGTGAACAAGTTTAACTAGTGCCTGTTTGTGTGCATGCGTCACAGCGTGTTGAAGGACTCAAAGACTGTCTGAAATGGTCAAAAAAAAAACAACCGTTGTTTCGAAAAGACTGGAACCTCTGACAGTCTGGACAATATGTTTGGGAGTCATCTTTGGGAAACTGCTCGTGTTATAGTGTGAGTACAAGCAGACAGTTTAGTGCTTTAGAAGGAGATCTGGACATGCCAACTTAGGCCGGGCACAAAGCCGGATGGTTTAAAAACACACGACCCCATCAGTCACTCATTCATTGAGCGATGTTGAAGTGTTAAAGCGAGGCAGAGGTTTGGGAATACCTTGGATGTTCTCGCAATTCAGCCGGAAAAAAAAAAAAAACGCAGTTTGCTCATGAATGTATTGTACAATTTTAGAGGTGGACACGCTTTTGGTCTTTTTGCTTTCATGTCAGTTAGAACATGAAGACGTTCTATAGCGATCTGCTAAAGTCTGGTCACATTGAGGCTGACATACAGTAGACCTGGTCCCCTGTCTTTAGCCTGAATCCCCTCTCTCAGCCTCTCCTGGATGTCAGACTTCCAGACGTCTGAAGTTCAATTCAAAGTCTCATTATTCCGACCATGATGAGATAATCACTTCTGAGTGCAGCCGCCCTCACCAGACATACCCTCCTCTCCTCCTGAAACTATCTGGGAGACTTATTCAAGCCCCCGAAACCCCTCTTCCCTTCCTCCCTCTCTCTTATAATGCATCAAGTTTATTTCCTGTTATTCTCATGGAAGCTGACCCCCCCCGGCTCTCACTCTATTGATCAGAGCAAGTCGTGTATTTCCTGTGTTGTGCAGTATTTTATTTATTTTGTATTCTTATTTCAATATATTATATTTTTACATATTGTATGATTTCCACGGGTGACTCACTGTCGCCAGGGAGCTTTTGTGATTTGATTTAATTTAATATGGATTTTATTATTCTTTGCCAGCAGCGCTATTTATCAAAAAGGTACCGCTTAGTTATTCGTCATGGAAAAAGCTGTGTGTGATTTAATGGGAGATGACATAAGTGACACTTTATTGTAAGGGCACTAGACACAGTCGTAATTTATATGTGCACCATGATTTCATTCAGTTATACATTCAAGATGGTTTATGACTTCCTTTTGTTCTCCATTAAGAACTGATCAAGTCCCTGTGAGGCTATGTGATAACTCCATGCTTAATGGATCATCTATTAATGATAAACTCAGTTACTGCCAACATCAGTCTGTATGCCATCACATAAGCAAGAATCCAGTTATGCTGAAAAAGCAGCCGTACTTATTCTGAAATGAAATATGAAGCTGTTTTTTTTTTATTTCTTAATTGAAGATTTCTGAAACGACATTAGCCTTGCTAGCTACATGACAGAGTTCATTATCGGTACACAGCTTTGCTCTAGAATGAAATATTGTAAAAGTTAGTATTGTTGTCTTTAAAGACATGAGCGTTCCCCAGAGGCTGATCCAGCTGACGTAGATGATCTTCTGAATTTCATCTTGCTCAAACTGTTAGCTTGTCCGATGACTAATCGCTTACTGCCTGAAAAACTAACCCCACTCCCACCAGCCTCAGCTGTACATTGTGATTTTTGCTAAAAAGGTAATGCTCACGTTACAACAGGCTAAAGTAATGGTATCACATTGTAACACTATTACAATCAGCCAAACATTATGACCACCTATGCAAGCCAGTGTATCATTTGCAATCTTACTTTTTTAGTTTAGCTTTACGCAGAGGAGCTAGCTCATGTAGATTCTTGGTCATGCTTCTTTAAAGTAAACAGTCAATGTAGACTTTGAAGTGTGCATCAGTCTACTCGCTGTTTTGCCAGCTGGCACATGTTCGTCATTATCTTATGTGCTAACCCTCAAATTCTTTAAGCAACTGCAAAAAAAAACAAAAAAAAACAACGTAAACAACAGGATGAAATGACTCGCACGCTAGCTTCTCAAAATAAATGTTTTGAAGATGCAGGGCTAATTATCGAGCTTATTGTCATGGCATATGAATGAATGGACAAAGTGTCTTTGAGTTAATGTTCATTGACTGAGGATCCATTAAGCATCATGCAAATGAATCACTTCTGAATGTTGAGCAGCATGAACTCAAAACACATGCTGAATCAATTAAAATCCTCATGACGTTTTCATTATTTCTACATGACTCAAATTTTATTTATTAAAACGTCCTCTTCTGTCCTCACACTTGTCTTTAGACGTGCAGCAGATAACGAAGACATCCATGAAGTGGGAGTGCAGACCGTGTTGAATGTGTTTCTATGCTTTATAATGGGGTCTACAAGGAAATCACACCTTCCTCACCCTCCCACTTATTTCCTGATTTGAAGTGTGCACAGCTCCACCCTGTGGTTCACTTGTTATTTTTCTGAGAGAGAGACAAGAGGTCATACAGTAGCTGTTCCTTTTTGATTTAAACAAACTGAGCTTTTGTCTTTTAGAATATATCAAGTTGTCGGGCTATGTGTGAGGCTGCTGCATCTTATTCCCTCTCTATGCTTGAGTCACACGCAGGTGTTAACACGTTGTTTGCTGAAGCAGCTTACTGTATGTGTTTTCTGCTTCACCTGTTACTGGAGACTTCACCTAAATATGGGTCTGCTCAGACTGAAACGAGCGGAGTAACGCCACTATTATCAGTAATATTTGCAGTGTTTTCAAAATTCTCCATGGGCAACCTTGAGAAAGCAGCCAAATGTTCTGGTTGTCACTTTAGATAAAAAGGGAAAAATCTACAATGTGTATATTATGTCTGTATCAAAACCCGAAAGCTGAAAATGAAGATCCAAACGTGGGTGTTTGATGTCTGTTTGTATGCTTTTTGTGTGTCAGTTCAGAGCGAGAGAATAAATTAATTTATATATTTTTTAGAAAATCAAAGCTGTACTATTATTAAAAAAAAGGACTGTGGCCAATAAAGAGTCTTAAACAAGTGAAATAATCTCAAAGTCAGACTCGAGTCGACATCTGCACTCACTGCCTTAAAAACATTCACAGGTTCAGTTTCACGGCTCCAAATCTGAGAGACAAATCTTTAAAAAGGCTTTTCAAGGAGGGCAAGGAGAAGACAGTGTACAGTAGACCTTTGTCAGTTTGTACAACATATACCAAGTGAAAAAAAAATATTTATTACATGCATTGAAGAAATTGTTTACTTATTGAATGTTACCTGTTTATGTAGAAAAGTTTAGATGTAATAAAATGCATTCTGTTATTTCTTTGTGCTTCCCTTTATTTTTGAAGTACTGTGTTAATGTTATATTGAGAAACGAGCACTGGGTGGCAGCAGAGAGTCGTTTTGGTCAATTCCCTCCATGCTTCGCAGGTACAAAAACCAATTACGCACAATTAATCAGCTCCAGTCCTTGCTTTCATGAAATTGACTAATATATTCTCAACGTGAACCTCTGATTCCATTAGCAGACGTTTATTTTTGGATCATAACTGATGGTGGAGCTTCGCGCTTAGAGGAGGGTCCTTTACGCACAAAACTGATGGACGAATCACACCTAATGTTCAGCCATACATTCGTTCTATTGTGGATGTTGAATGATTGTGCGTCTTGGAGAGCAGAGCAGAGCAGAGGGGGAGGACAGAGCAGGAGGGTGGGCAGGATTCAGATGAAGGATTGGTTGACGGCATGGCATCATGGACCAAGTCTATTAAAACATCAATGTTTCTCTCAGGTTTCAATATAGAAAAGTTTGCGAGCCTGGTGACACCATGAGCGAAGAAAACGAGAGCGTGTGCTTAAACAGCTCCATGGACGCGGACTGCTTCAGCAACCTGGAGGACATCGACGTGACAGCAGACGGGAGTCCGATCCTAAGATTCCTCATCTGCCTGGTTTATTCTGTGGTCTGCGCTGTGGGTCTGATGGGCAACGTGCTCGTCCTCTTCTTCATCAGAGTCAAACACGAAAGGAAGAAGTCTAGAGTGAACTTTTTCGTGTTCAACTTGGCAGTGACGGACCTGCAGTTCGTGCTCACGCTGCCCTTCTGGGCCGTGGACACCGTGCTGGACTTCAGCTGGCCGTTTGGAGACGCCATGTGCAAAATCATCCTCTCTGTCACCGTGATGAACATGTACGCCAGTGTGTTTTTTCTCACAGCCATGAGTGTGACCCGCTACTGGTCAGTAGCATCAGCTCTGAACAACAGCACTGGGCAAAGGTCCTGTTCCTCCAAATGGATCTGCGCAATCATTTGGACAGTGGCGACTCTGGCGACTGCGCCGACTTCGATCTTCTCCACTGTCAGCAACGTAACCGGAGAAAAGCTGTGTCTGCTGAAGTTTCCTGGTGGGCAGTACTGGCTTGCAGTTTATCACATACAAAAAATACTTGTAGGTTTTGTTTTACCATTCTGCATTGTGACCATCAGCTACATTATGCTGCTGCGTTTCATCCGCCTTAGGAGCATGAAAACAAGCAACCCCAAACGGAGATCCCAAGTCACCAAATCCATCACCATAGTCGTGTTGTCCTTCTTCCTTTGCTGGATGCCGAACCATGCAATCACCCTGTGGAGTGTCCTGGTCAAACTGAACGTTGCAAATTGGGACAAAGCGTACTACATAGTGCACACTTATGTGTTCCCTCTGACTGTCTGCCTGGCGCACACCAACAGCTGCCTGAACCCGATTATTTATTGTCTCATGAGGAAGGAGTTCAGGAATAAACTGAGAGGTCTGATTCGCAGGGGATAGACTGTATTTGAACTTGTTTTGGATTAACTGAATTTGCGCAAAACATATTGACAAATACTAACCAAGATGCGGCGACTGCGTAAAGAAAGAAGGGGCATTTAGAGAGAAGGGCGACCTGTCATGGACCCAGTGCGCACAGGTTACACCCCTTCTATAAGTGACTCGATACTTCTCACGTAAAATGTTACTTCTACCACTGCTTCATGTCTTTAAAGGCTTGTAAAATGTGGCAAAGTTCTATATATAACCCACCACAGCTAACATAAGGCTGTATACGCAAGGAATGTCTAAATATGTGTTTACATTTTGCGCTTACGACTACTGTTGCACTGTTTGATAAATAGCAATTAGGTTTAATGTATTCACAGTCTGAGAAACTGCGTGCGTAATTGCGAATGAAAACGTATTAAGCATTGCTGTGCACGAGTATTCATTATGTGATCAATGGTATTAAGCGTGGAAATCTCTCGCAGCAGGTATCTGCATGTACATACTTGGACACCTGCAGTCTTAATTCTAGCGCCACCTGCATCTTTCCTGTTCTTCTCGTGATACTTGTTTTGTCTGAATAAAACACAGAGCACATGGAAAGCAAGTGAGTGCTGTTAAAATCCGTATTTGAATGTTTTTGGCAAATGATGTAACTGAATGTAAAAATGATGTGTTAACTCTGACAGTCGTGGATGCAACAACACCTCATCACCTTCTGATGTAAAGGGATTGCACAAACGGTAACAACATGTATAAAATGTGATTGTTGTAAATACGCCAAAAAAAAAAAAAAAACAGTATTACCCATTATGTGTAATTATAAGAGTGTTCTCACATTGTCACATGTTTAATAGCTGATAATGCACAAGTCAAAGCACAACAGGTTTTAGTCAGAAGAAAGTGAATATAGATATAACATGAAATCTCCCTTACGTCCTTCTATATTGTTTTTAACCTGTTCAGCATTTTGTTCAACTGAAAGGTGCTTCATAAAATAAACTTTGAATTTACTTTCACCTAAACGCCACACGGGCGGATGATAGAGAGAGATTTATTTTCTCTAAAACTTCTTTCCAAACCATGAGGATAAGGGAGGGCAAGAGCACTACAAGGCATGTGCACAAAGTCCTCTCTGAATGCGTGAGAGCTGCAGAGCACATGCATACACACCTGGGTGTCCTAGAGGACCCTAGAAATGAGGGTCTGATCTTGTGTTAATGTATGGGCAATGTCTTTAGTTGTTGATTGGATTTGAGTTGACTAAATATAAAATGTTCACGTGAATAGAAAGTAAAGTGTCTATTTTCCTCTCGTGCCTGTTATTCATGACAAAGACAAAATTTCTTCTGTTTAGATTGCATTTATGTTCTGAGGTGTTTTGACGTACTCACACACTGCACGTCATAATGTACAAGCATGTGTTTCACCAGCAGAGATTTTGTAGGCATGGCAACAGTGTTACCTCCACTGACTTTATTGAAGCTTGCTGCTGTACTCTTTTAAGGTACCCACTTAACCAGAAATTAATCGTATATAAAAAAAAAAGAGCTCCGACTTGCTGATTGACCAAAGTGCAATTGTAAAGATTTAAGTGATTTTCCAAATATAGCTAAATTTAAAAAAAACAAAAGCGGACAATACACACACAGGAGAATTGGTTCAATTATTGTTTGATGTGAAAGTAAATGATAGGATTGTATAGGATACGATATGTTAAACTGGCAGATATTAAGAAAAATATTAAGAGGTTTATTTTCAAAGTTCAGGGTCTTTATAGGATGATGAAAGAAGGGATTTATGAATGAAAAGATTCAAGTATTTATTCAGCTGAGTACAAGACATTAAAGGTTGGGAGCGCTGCTTGGGTCCTCAATGGAGCTGAACAGCAAACAGGTGCTCTTTGGGGAGGGTGGACCGATACAATGAAAAAATAGGCTTGATGTGTTTATCACTGAAGTGAATAAAATGCTCCTCTGAGTCTGAAGAGTAAAGTAAACAAACACAAAAAGATATCCAAGGCACTCTGTTCCATTACAAAATAAAACACATAGTTTAGCAGAGTTAAGGGATTTGAAAGCAATAATTTAGACAGTAAGGTGGCTTTAAATATACTTTTGCTACAATTCAATATGAGGCTGAGTATGTTACGTACAAAAAAATGGTTTTAAAAACGTTCCTTTTCACAATGGTTATCAAATGTGAAACGCTACAATTATCTTTTAAAACAAAACCTTCATGTAATGTTTTAAACTGATAAATTACCTGCAAACAAAACAGCAACATTTTAAAGGCATAAAGGTGATTATATATTTTGTTAATGTCAGGGTCAAATGACCCAACAAAGACTATACAGCACCACTTACAATGTCACCCTCACTATGAGACATAAAACATTTGTACAAATCTTAAAGAAGTATATTACAAACATAGAATACCAACAACCTGTCTGATGGAGAACAAAGAGCCAACTGAGACAGAGAGTTGTTACTTACAAAGTTGATATTGTCTCATTTATGTCTTTCAAACTCAAGGTTTTTATGTTATTGAATCAACAGCTAACTAAAAGAAAACAGCATCTGTGGAGCACAATGTATCTGCAGTACGCTGTATAAACTGTGACAGAGGAGTTTTTCTCCGGCTGTGACTTTATTCCAGCTAAAGCTCTTTTTTCAAATATTCCCCTCCTCTGTGTCTCTGTGTTGTGGTACTGCGTATAAACTCTGGTTGAACTATTCACCCATTATCAATACTATTTACTCAATGAGCTAATACCTCAATGCTTTTATAACATTCTTAGTAATAGCTGTCCACATTTGGGAAGCTCTTCATACTAACAAAGTAAACAGGGTTGCCTGGGCTACCAGATCCTGCTCATGTATGCAGGCATGAAAACTACAAAAAAAAAAACATGCAGACTCTCATCATGCCCAAACCTCCATGTGCCAAAGTGTCAATCAAACAGTTTGAAGCTATTGTTTTATCCAGTCCCCTATAGGTGCTGAACTCTGATGATACACTATTAGCAAAAGAACAATGTCCTACAGTCAATGACTTCAACATGTAACACTTTTAACGTTGTACATTACAGAGTCGTATTTAGCCTTTGTGTTTTCAGTGTGAAAAGTACAATGACATTTCTCGGCTCTATTTTATGTGAGCAAATTTCTAGCATCATGCGCTCATGTTTCTGTGACATTTTCATTTTGATTCCATTTTAATTCTCTCTGTCAATGTTTCAGAAACTATTTTGCAAAGGCAACAAATAAAAAAGATCAAAAGGAAATCTAAAGAAATTAAAATTATGTATTCATGAATGATGTAACTAGCTTTGTTTGTTGCTCCTGGGACAAAAAGAGTGGACGCTTCTCTGCCAATAATGAAAGATGCAGACAAAATCATAAATAGTGACGCAGGTTTTTACACTTCAGCGTTTTTTTTCTGAAGTAAAACCAAAGTAGGTTATTTACAAAAAGTCCTGTGTTTCTCATATACTCTATTCAACATTTGTACCAAATAACAAGTCTTTTTGACATAAAATGATTCTGTGTTTTTTTTCTCATGCAGTACCTCATCAATAATCTCTTCAGGGTCCCATTAGGCCTGTGGTTTCCATTTGAGCTTGACCTCATATAAACACTTTTTCAAGCAATGAAAAGATGTTTATTGGTTTTGAAAGGGTAATTAGTTAGAGCTGTGGTCTGGCTCTTCCTCTGGGGATGTTAGTGGACATTTCCAACTATGAGGGAGTCAATATGCTGCAAAAAAATGTGCATCAGTGCATCACAGGACAATGAACCTACATTTAATAGTTGATGCAGTGGTCTTTTATCGGACAACACATCTTTTCAACCCAAGTACTTCCCCTTTATCTTTTATGTAAAATGTCTAAAAATGGCGTTGCGCTCAAACTGACCTTTCATTCTTTAGTGTAGCCGTACTCACTGCAATTTGTTCTACTTAACTGGCATACTAAGAAGAGCGTGAGAGAAAACCTCAAATACTGATAAATGATCGTTTGATTGACACAAAAGTATGTCGTAATCAAATCCATATGACAGTGCAACGCGCACTTCAGTTCATGAGAAATGTGTGACCCTAAAAAAAACATGTTTACAGGCCAAAAATAAAGGCTGAGAAACCTTAAAATAGTGACTCCACAAAAATGTACGATTTTTTAAGTCTGCAGCCCGACAACTTTGCCAAATTTACCAACGCTTAGTGTATTATAGGCATTGTGGGAACTTTTTGAAGTATAGGTGATTTTCCACTTGTGCAATATAACCTGTGCTGATAGAAAAATATATAAACCTCTTTAGGAAGGTCAAAACTACAGAACACAGCACAGTAGTAATCTATCATCATTGTAACAGTAATGTGGCGTCTTTTATTTGACCTTTATTGTTCTGTTGTTTTTGGGACTGCTTATGTGTGTTTGTTCTTTTTCTTTCTGTTTTGATGTGCTTGTAATCTCAATGTCATAAACTTCAATGTCCTTTTGAGAATAAATGAAGGTTGGAAAATGTCTAAGTGGCAATATATGATATCAGCATAAGCCCCAGCATAACCAAAAACATCGGCAGTCTTCTGATACGATCGTTAAAAAACGTCACCACAGCAGGTACAAAAGAATTCCTTCCTCTGAAGAGCCCCCCGTCTTGAAAAGAAATGAGCTAAAATAACTTGTTCCCTGAGAACATTGGACATCCTGCTGTTGTAAAACCTGGCTGTTTTTACCTGCTCTTTTGTAATGTTAACAGACAAAGAGTAAGGTATTTTACCTGCTTTTTGTAAATTGTCTTGAGATAACACTTGTTATGAGTTGACGCTATACAAATAGATTGAATTGAATTGAATTGAATTAAAACACTGTGCAGCTTTCTGACTGCGCTTTGCTGTATCATCACCTGCAGCAGGCGGGGAGTCAGGCTAATTTTGGATGCTCAGTGATAGTTCATTGATCTTGCTCCTGTCATCTTACTTTAAGCATCACAAGCAACACCTGCTGCATTTATGACACACACACACACACACACACACAGGAGTGACCTGCAGACATCAAGCAGTTCTACATGAGGAAAACAAGCCTGGACTGGACTCGATTGCATTGCTGTTCTCTTTGTAGTCAAATGACACTGAGGTAACCTTCCTATAACAGGAAACCAATTCAGCATCATCAAAGGTCATTGCAACCTTTTTCATACTCACTCAAAACATCCATTTAAAAACTTTCCAGGGGGGGGGGGGCACTGCACTGCCTCCAGGGACGTGTGACAGGCTCTCACACATCAGTCTGTATAATAAGTCTGTTCTGTTTCAATTAAGATGCAGACACGTGATGATTTTAGACAGAAATGTTTTAGTCAAGGTGAAAATTGAGGCTGGGCGAATAGAATAGCTAACAACAGCACAATGTGTTATAAATTTAAATCCCCTTGAACATCAAATACTCTTCTATATCAATGTTTTGCTTTTGCCAGAAGAATCTTAAAAACGCCTATAAAGTATGGAGGACGAGACCTGACAAAAGTATAAATAAATAAATGTATAAATAAATAAATGTGAAAATAAATAAATGTATAAATAAATAAATATGGAAATAAATAAATGTGGAAATTAATAAATGTGGAAATAAATAAATGTAGAAATAAATAAATGTGGAAATAAATACATGTAGAAATAAATAAATGTGGAAATAAATAAATGTAGAAATACATTTAAGACATTTAATTATGTATGTCCCATTTATTTACCAGTTTTTATTTATTTATTCACGCATTTATTTATTTATTTATTTATCCATTCTTTTATTTATTTATTCCAGTATTTATTTATTTATATTTTTGTCAGGTCTCGTCCTCCATAATAAAGAAGCAAGTCTGCCAGCCAGCCACACCGCGCCTTCTATTTTACGAGTTTTGACAGGAGCACTTGAACGCAGCACAGCTCCGAGAGGCTCCATATTGGTCAGGTGATCCAGCAGCAGGCAGGCCCTTCTCGGCTTCTTCTCCTTCGATTTGGCTCCAATGTCGGAGGTGTTTGCGCCTGGAAGAAATGGACTCTGGCAATGCTCGAATTTGATCATTCAGAGATCCGATCAGTTGAGTCTGTGAATGGCGCCAAAACAGGACCCTAAACCTAAATTTCAAGAAGGTCGGTACCGAAAAAACCCACACGGCGGTAAACGCCTGAAGGGGGCGGGTTTGTTGTTGTTGTTGAATGCTGATGCTCTAGCTTGACCATTATGTTTTCCAAATAAATAAAAAGCTACTGACCATTTACATATAAATAAAAACATTAGTTAAAGATGTAAAAGCATAAACATGGTCACACATTAAAGATGAACCTCTTTAAATAAAGTGAGCGGATCAAATGTGACATTAACGTGAGGCTAACAGCTAGGTAGCTTATTGCTGCCATGTTTATGAGCTTAATCTTTATGGACACACAAAGAAGTCCCTGATACAATGTCGAGCCAGTTTATTATCAGCCCATCATGTAGTCATCAATGAGTTTATATTGGTCTAGTAACGAGTTATTACATTGAAAACAGATGGTTTGTTTTTGTGTCCCCTCAGGTGAAAGAGTCCTGTGCTTTCATGGGCCACTGCTCTATGAGGCAAAGGTTTGTTTCCATATGGACCTTAAATGTGTGTTATTTGTTGATTATTAACTTTAAAAAAACAAACAAACAAAAAACTGTGGACCTGTGTGTTTTCTTTTGTGTTGCAGTGTGTAAAGATCAACATTAAGGAGAAGCAGATTAAATACTTCATTCATTACAGCGGATGGAACAAAAAGTGAGCAGCTGTGTGAAGATACATAGATTTATGTATCAGTGCTTAACACAACATTTAATTTGTTTTCATTGGCAGTTTATGTACTTTATGTGGTCTGATTAAACTCACTGAAGACTTTTTGTCAGGTGATGAATTCCCGCCTCTGTCATGTTTGTCTCTCTGCAGCTGGGATGAATGGGTTCCTGAGAGCAGAGTTCTCAAATATGTGGACAGCAACCTTGCGAAACAAAAAGAGCTTCAAAAGGCTAATCAGTAAGTTTTGTGTGCTCAAAATCAGTAGAATAGTGTTATTAGAAATCAGTTTGTAAAGAATAATTCGCTGATGTTAAATCTTTCGTCCTCTTTTTTTTTTACAACATGGCTTTAACAAGAACCAAAGGGTTACATCCTTTGCATGAATTCTTTATTTGTTGCTTTCTGAGTTACAATTGTCACCTTAATGGATCAGATAAGATGTTTTGTTGTGAATTTATTAATTAACTCTTAGTCATATTTCTTCCACAGGGACCACTATGTTGAGGGAAAGATGAGGGGTTTAGCACCAAGCAAGAAGATTGCTGCTGTGCAGCAGAAAAATGTTGATCTGTAAGTTGTTTGTCACCTTTTTTTTGATCAAACCTGTTGTGAAATGCCTCTCGTTACGTCACATGATGTTGGCATCATGTTATTTACAAATGTACAGTGTGACCCAGTTCAACAGCTCTGACATGAGGCCTTTTGTTTAATCTGTTGCTCTTGACACTGTCACATAATTTATACTTAATATTTTAGGTTTTTCATGTAGGCTGTAGCGTACCTGACTTTCACATACACTAGAGGGGCAGAGGCTCAAATTCACAAAAGCACATTTTAATTCAAAATGAAATGAATAAAACCATTTGGACAATGACAACATTTCTAACACTGTTACTGGAACAACCAAATACGTGTATTAAAACAAACTCATGACTGAGTGTATTTCAAACAGGGATACAACAGTTGATGATTTATATGAAAATCATTTATGAGCTATTTCTGGAGTTACGAGTGTAGAATTTATCGCTTCGGTGTCACTTGTGCCTAGTGAGGGGAAAGGGATGTGTTTAGTTACATCCCTTCATCGCTTCCCTCCAAAATAAAATCCTATACAAAAATTGCATGAACATGAAAAATAACTAAACATTTGCTACACACTCAATTTTTTTTAATTAAACAAATATGTGATGTAAAGTCATTTTATGGTTCTCACTATTTCTTTTACCCGATATTTGAACTTTTGATTTCTCCTATAAACAGACATGAACATTCATTACAAATGAATAAAGAAAGAGAGAGGGGGGGAGAGAAAGAGCACATGTTAGCTCGTTTACTTTTTGTTTGGGGTGCTTTTAGGCACACATTGAGTCCACCATCCATATTCCACTGACGTTACTAACATGACTGATCAATGCTAACTATAGGTCTGGGGATGGAGGCACGATTTAAACTGCTAAACTGTTCATACAAAGAGAGACTCGTAAAGCATTTCTATACACGTGTGAGTGTGTTCACAGCAGCGGCGAGAGGATTGCTGAGAGAGCAGTCTTTTGTAACACCACTGCAAACTTCAACTTCAGTAATAACAACTGTAGTTCAATCCAAAGCTCTCAGACAGTACCAGTCAAACCTGAACATTATATTATTTGTAAAGGCAGAATTTATGACAGCGCTGTTGAACTGTAACACACAGTAGTGTGTATCTAATGAAGCTGCCATTGAGTATATATTTTATTAAAAGAATGTTTGTCTTTTTGCATTGTAGGAAAGTGAAGAAGGCAAAACAGAAAAGTAAGTCAAATGTTTCTAAATGACAGAGTGGGAATATGTTTGTCTATGGGAATATTTAGCTGTGGATTTTGTTTTGTTTCTCTTATTGCCGCCTAGCAGCTTCTTTCTGATTCTGTTAATGTCAGTTTTAGGGTAGAAATATACCAAATGAGCACATCAGCAGCCTGGAAAAGGTCATGGCTTTAAATTGTATTCCACAAATTGTATTTTCAGATGAACCACTTCATAACATCATAATTGTCTTTTATGCAACAGCCATTAATCTGGAGGCATTATGTACAGGAAAGAATCCCCAGAGAGTACTTCTGATTTCTCAGAAGGATGAAATAAACTCAAGTGCTTCTTTATATTCAGGTCCCTGTGGCTGAGGGAAAAAAAAATTACATACAGAGTAGATGATTACTTGCTCATTTATCTTCTTTAGTCCCAGGGCCGGGGGAAGGTACCAGCAGCGGAGAAACGCCGCAGGGGCCACGGAAGAAGAGGGCTCGAGTTGATCCCACTGTGGAGAGTGTATGTATCATCACTTAATGGTAACCACACAGGAAAATATGTCCAGATGATCATTTCAGCTTAAATCATTTCTATCGTTGCATTGTTTTAGGTTTAAAGCTGTGGGAAAATGTCCTTACTTTGATTGGAGGAGGCATTTTAATCACTGGAATTTAGTACGCTTAGCATGACACCAAACTGCTCGTTTGACCAGAGAGATTTTCACAACACTGCAGACTGGCCTTCCTTTCTGAGACGGGGGGGGGGGAAGCTAGATAAGAATTGAGAATTCATAATAAAAATGTCCTGAGAATTCCAAACTAATTTGGACATTTGAAATGATGGGCTGAACTAATTTCCTTGTTCTTTCAGTACGTTATTCATGCATGAATTTAATTTAATCACATTTATTTATTTACATTGGTTCCCCATTAGTTGTTGCCACAGTAACAGCCATTCTTGCTGGGGTCCATACAAACAAGACAAAGAATAAAACACGATTGTGACTTGTGAATTGAGACTACGCTCCCTGTGTCCCGCAGCAGGTGACTGCTGAGTCTCTCAGCACAGAGTTCTTTCAGGTGTGGTTTAATTTGCCTCTGAAAGAAACAGACAGACACGGTGCGGCTGTGGCTCAGTTAGTAGAGTCGGTCATCAGCAACATGTCTGATGTGGACTTGGACAAGACACTTAACCCCGAATTGCTTCGTCGGCGGTGTATGAATGTGTATGAATGGGATTAGTTACTTTAATGGTCTAACTACATAGAAAGACTAGACTAGAAAAGACTAGAAAAGCGCTATAAGCTCACGTCCATGTTGGCACCATGCAGCCAGCAGAAGAAATAATTATGACCTGCTCTGAAACCTTGTAGTTTTATGCAAAAGCAAAACAGTTCTCATGTCATTGAAAGCTTGAATATTTGAGGGCAGAGGAAATTTAAATATATGCAATATAAATATACTGTGTCATGCAGTATTTGATAAACAAGCAAGACCTGTTGAGAAAAAAATCAGAGACATTTAATACAGTATGTTACAGAACATTTATAAATAAGCATCAATATAATAAAAAACTTCAAATGTTTTCCTTCATTTAAAAAATAGTTATAAATATTAAAACTGCGTCATTCTACAGCAAAGCTAAATGTTTGTTTTTCTTTTCAGATTTTCAATTTCACAGAAATATTTGCTAAGTGAGTCGTGGGGAAATGTGTCCACATGAAAGTAGCAGAGAAATGAACGTGAACGGTTCACTTAGGAACCTTGAGCACTAGAGAGATATATAAAAAACAAAATATGTGTTGCTTTATTGAATCACCCACTTTTAAAATAACCACTCAATACATTCTACATGTTTGTGTCTTTTTGGCAGGAGGAGATGTTCACCAACCGTGTGGAGGTGAAGGTAAAGATCCCGGAGGAGCTTAAACCCTGGCTGGTGGACGACTGGGACCTCATCACTCGACAGAAACAGGTAGGTAGTAAAACAAACACAAACACTGAGAGTTCAGATGTTTGCTGTAGGTTTATTCAGCTACAATAACCTTCCGTTGTTTAGAAAGTCGACTCCACAGTAAAGAAAGTGTCTGTGTTTTAAAACCTCATTTTTCTGATGTGTACAGTTATTTCATCTGCCTGCTAAGAAGAACGTCGAGACTGTCTTGGAGGACTATGCAAGCTATAAGAAATCTAAAGGAAACTCTGACAACAAGTAAGAATTCTTAGCTTTATTCAAATAATGTAATGTTAGGATATCCTCTGTAAATGTCTCTCTGAGTCATGACTGTCCACAGTGAGTGAGAAGTGTGAGTCCTGCCAGCTGTATTGTTGTTGGAGCCGTGTTTACATCATGTTTACATGGACAGGACGGCTCTGCATATAAAGCTGTTTATATCAAGGACTAGAGAAAAGAAGAATAACATACCCGATGCTTATTTGGTCTTTTGAGTGTCTTTAGAGCACGGTAATTACGTGTCCATTTATGTGTGTGTTAACATTAGCCTGCTAACACAAAAAATGCAGACCACAGAAAATTGCAGCGAATAGAAGCTTCAGAATAGCGGAGGTGTCGCCAAACAGAAGTTTGTTTTGGTTTCATGCTGGTGCTCAAGGGCGACATCTACTGGATCAAAAAGTCGCACATCCTTCCTTTAAAACAGATTATATTATGTTTGTGGGACTTGTGTGCTCATGTGCTGAAATAAAAAGCATTTTTTTTTTAGGAAACATTTTTCACTGCATCCCTGGTTACTTACAGTTTTTCACATTTCCAAATATATTTTCAAGCAGTTGAACACACCAACCTTCAACCCTTAACTTTATAACAGTACATTATGCAGCACAAATGCACGATTTGTTTTTATGTGATAGTCTCCATGAAAGTAATTTGTGGCCTTTTCTCCCCCTCTTGTAAGAGAGTATGCTGTGAACGAAGTTGTGGCGGGGATTCGCGAGTACTTTAACGTCATGCTGGGCACTCAGCTGCTTTACAAGTTTGAGAGGCCGCAGTATGCTGAGATCTTGGCTGAACACCCGGACATGCCCATGTCTCAGGTGTACGGGGCTCCACACCTGCTGCGCCTATTTGGTATGGAACCTTGACACACACTGAATCACACACATTAACACAATACACACACTCACACACACACACACAATGAAACATCAAACACTTAATAAACTGAGAGATAGTTAATTGTAACTGAAGAGGAATAGAAGTCACTCTCTGTACTATTACAATTTCTTTCAAATGCTTTAATATAATTCTTAGAAAACCTTCATATTCATACAATGGCTGGGGCGTTGTAAATGTTCAAGGAGTTTTATTTCGTTCTTGTCCGTGTCTTTGTTGAGATAATGGGAAATGATCTCTGCAGAAGCTTGAACACGTAATACTTAAGACAGGCATTAATGTCATTTCATTGGATAACAGTCAGTCATACTGAATTATTGGTGGCTGGCCTCTGTTTTCCCACTTCTTCTGATATTGAATTTGGATGAATTATTTTTGACAGATAAAGTCATTTTGAGTTTTAATGAGGTGAGATTATCATTGAGCACTAAGAGAACTGCTGATCTCATTTGATCATTCATAGTCATTCATACATGACTTTAATATCACACATTAATCAAACTAAACATCAACAGTCAAAAGGATGAAAAACTGTGCAGCTAACCAATTACTCTTCATCAGATCATAACGCTGATCTTAATTTCTCACTAAATAAAGCATCAAGTGTATTAAAAAATATTTTTCAGTGAAATTTTAGGATCTCACAAATAATTACACAATCAAATAGAACTAGCATCATCTTTGCTAAATGACAGTTATTCTAGCACTGGATTTTATGAATGATATAAGTCATTATATCAGTACAGAGTCTGGAACATAGTCTGTACAAATAGACACTGTGACAAAGTGCTGGGGAAAAAATCGATTTATGTAAAAATCAAGATTCTCCTCTTTTAACATCGATTCATAACTTACAAAAATGTATTTATTTATTTTCACAAAAAAAAAAATCAGTTACTCCCTGCTAATAAAAGTGCTATAAGGCTAGCTCTTTAACTCAGTAGAATGACAAATAGAGCAACAAGAAATTCAGCCAGTCTCACCGGTGACTGGAGTAGATCCTGAAGTATTAATTCAAAAATAGACTTTGAATCCATGGATCAATGAATCCAGCATCGTGACCCAAAGCATCGAAATCGAATCCTGAGACACCCAAAGATTCCCAGCTTTGCTGGGACATAACTAGTTGGTTTTTGAAACTATGAGCTTTTCTCAGGTTTTTGACCTAAAAAAAATGATTTGCCTTAGCTTCTGTCATAAATGAGATGTTGCCATGGTAGAGATTTGTCAATCACAGATAATTATGTCCTAAAGCGTTTTCTGCTTATTGTCTTTTTTTAGTCTAAATGCTATAATTTGAAAAACAATCATGCTGTAATAAAGAAGACTTCAAATTGGTGCTTAAGACCATAAACTCAAATTACAATCTATAAAAAAAAAGAGGAGAAGGTTTTTATCTTTATTGCCAACATCAAGCACCTTTATTATAAATATTTTTTTAAAGCAGAAAGACAATAAATGAATTCCTCTGATTTCTGTTTCACACTAATTGATGTTGGTACATCATTGACTCAGACTGTATATGCTCCTGTCTCTCTCACTCATGTCGTCCTCTGACAGTTCGTATAGGAGCCATGCTGGCCTACACTCCACTGGATGAAAAGAGTCTGGCTTTGCTGCTGAGTTACCTCCAAGATTTCCTAAAGTAAGTTTTATCTCCAACCAAACCTCAGAGACTTGACGCCATTTTCGGCTGATTCTGAAATGTCATGTTTCATCCAAATTCACATCAGTGCAACCAGGCTTATTCGAAAACCTGAAAACATGAACCGCACAAATCAATTTTCCCTGAATTACTTTTTCTTTGGGTTAGAATGACCGCACACTCAGAAATTACTCAGCCTGTCAGCATGTCACTGTCAAGATGGAGTTTTAGAGAACTGATTCAGTTCTTGCTTGAGCACTAGACTGAAAAAATATTAAAAGGTGAACACCATGAGGTTTTCTTCTCTTCAATAAGCACACTGTTGTTACTTTAGCTATTGTAATTTGTATCATATAGAATATGGATACCACACAATTGATTAAGTGGCATGAGCGTTACATATAAGTGTTGTAGTCAAGGCCACACTAACTGAGATCACATCATCCCGAGACCAAGACATTTGTGTGCAGGGGGCACAGAGAAGGTAACGGCCGTAACCAGGTGATAAAATCTAATCGTGAATGAATTAAAGTATTTAGTTTTTTTTAGAAAGGGGGGGTTTTCCTTCTAATCACAGTAATGACATGAGAAAGGGCCAATCGTAACATTTTTAACACAACATTTTCTCTTGACCGGTCTTGATTTAAAGTCCAGAGTCCGCACAGTCTGAAACAGAGACAAGACCGAGTAAAAAAATGTTTGGAGTCCGAGACAAGACCGAGACCTCCAAGAAGTGGTCTCGAGGCCGGTCTTGAGACTAAGACCAATTTCGAGGACTACAACACGATCACATATAACCATATAGCTGGAACATTATTCATAATCAACATAAAGTAAAAAAGAAAAAACAATCAGATGGAGAAAAAAAACAACAACGTAGAATGAAACAATATAAACAACGTATAATGTCTAAAAGGGGGATGGTCAGCAGCTGCCCAAGATAGTTAGAGGCAAATTATTTACCCAAATATGTCAGACTTGGTTGCAGAATCTTGTTCAATATCATGGTAGACACATTAGCTTTATCTGATACATGACATCACTGAACTATTGCTTGTGAGATGGGGTTCTGCTGATTGCTTCTCAGTGAGGATCAGGCATTGGGGCTATGGGGGATGGGAAGGCTTTGGGGTCATATATTAAAGTAAAGAAATGATGTACAGTACTTACAGGGGACATATGCAGTAATTATTGATTATTAACATTCTCAAACCCATGACAATAACATTTCTGTATGTCAGCGTGTGCTTTCTCTGTCTGCTATTGTTCATACTATAACTGAAGCGGAAACTGAACACTGTGTGAACTCTCTGTTTATCAGGCTGTGACTAATCATGTCACTCCAAGATTGAATCCAATGACATTTCTGAACAAAAAAAATGTAATTTCCTACAGAGCCTTTTTCATTTATAGCAGCAAAGACTTGTCTTTAACACCTCCTCCCCCCTTCATCCTGATGCAGCATGTCCAGTTTTTGGCATGATTGTGTTTCCATTAAAAGCTTCCTTTCCATTGAAAAGCAGCTGGCCATGTGTTTGTTTTCTTCATGTTTGAGCCCTGTGAAAAGGTTGTAATTCTGTCCCTGCATGGCTCCCTTATTGTCACATTTTATGTTTATCTTAACAAACCCAATTTAATTTCCAACAGAACAAAACTCCTGCTGAGAGTTTCTTCATTTGACAGGATGATAATTATGCAAATTTTCTCAAGAGACAGCCGACATTTAACATCCTGCCTCAGTTTGAAAATCCTTGTGTTCCTTTTTGTTGTTGGATTGATTGAAAAGCTGCACTCGTTTCACCCTCCAGAAATGTGCCTTTCTGTCCCACTTCACTACAACAATGTATTTGACATTTTCCTCAGGTACCTGGTGAAGAATTCCTCCACCCTCTTCAGTGCCACGGACTACGAGGTTGCTCCCCCAGAGTATCACCGTAAGGCTGTGTGAGAGCTCTGAGCACACCCGCCTTCTCCCAGACCACATGTAAAAACTACACATGGATGAGATTTTTCACTTGAGCAGCTCGCTTCTTCCACAAAGGTCTCAGGAGCTTGTCACGAATAAGAACAAAAAAAACGATTAAGAAAAACTTTTTAAAGATTTATCTTGGTTCTTTTCTCTCCCTTTCGTCCTTTTCTGGCACTTAATTAAAAGAAACATGAAAAAAAGATTCAGTTTTCTGTCACCAACTTTCAACAAGCAGCTCTTTTGATGTTTTTGTGCATTCCCTCTGATAGATATTTGTTAACTGTTGCATGTGTGTATTTTTGACGGTTTCTCTTGCCACGTGTGGTGCAATTCAAAGCTGGACTATGTTGTCAGCACTCAGCATTTAATGTTTTTTTTATCTGTAACCTGTGTATTTGTATTGATTTGTTAAAAAAAAATGTTTCTACAGAATCCCTGTGTTGTAAGCTGTGTTTTCTTGATCACATCTTTTGAATTATTTGCTATTTTGTAAGTCATGGATAAAATAGAATAACAAATAATGGAGGCGAGGCCCACAGTAGCATCAAGGCACAACTTTAAAATATACATAGACGTGCACTGTAGAGCATGGATTTATATTCCTTTAACAAGTCAACAACAAAAACATGCATCTTTCATGCACGAGTTTAGATCATGAAAGCTGAAGAATCTCAACCTTTGTGCAAATAGAAGTACTAAAAGTTCAAGCTATGTAGAATGATCCAGTTAAGTATGAATTATACAATATTATTGTTTTAAAATTAATAATGCATCACTTGAATGCCGCAGCTGGTAAGATACTTTTAACTACTTTGGTAGCAGTCAAGCCTTATCGTAATATGAAAAAATCATATTATTATTTATTATATTAGTACTAAATTAGTTATGTGAAGTAAAAACAACAATAATTCACCTGAAATTCATCAACAAAGAGGTTAAAACATTTGAAACGAACAAATCCCTCAATCAAGAGCATAACTTTATATAAATGAGTAATAGTTGTGTACATGGTTTACATACTCACTCCACCCTAATGATCATGAACCCTGTGAACAGTCACAGTAAGTCACATGTCTCCCACCTTTAATGTTGAACATATCGCTTCAGTGTTAACCCTGTTGTGAGAAAAACAATCAGAGTAATGTGGCATAGGCAGATATTTCATTAAAGAAGGCAGTAGAATTAAATGGCAACTAGAAAAAATAACCATCCGCTGTTATATTGGACTGATCAAGATGTTTCATGAACATTAATGAGTAAACTGATAAGTCTATTAACAGACTCTGTACAGTTCTTTTGTCGAACAAACTTGTAATCCAACTTTTGTTAAATCCTACTGCGGCGTATTTCTTTTCTTTTATGTCACTTTACATACCTATTTATTTTGTTTGTGGAAAGAGCTCACTAGGGGGCAGCATTTTCTCTTAATAATTTATCCCCCCCAAAAAACTTGATGCCCACCTTTTGATTCAAGCTCCAGTGTTGATAATTATTTAACTATATGTCGTTGTGACCCCAAGGTGAGGCAGTTAAACTAATGTATTTCTTTTAACCTATGGCAGGGACTCAGAAAATAAATGATGTCAGAGCAGTAGTTCGAATCAACAGCACAGTTAGCGTCACAGCTAACACCTGAGTCTCACTCGCCAACCGGACTGGTCACGCAGACCGTAAGACCCACCCCGGCACCATTTGAGCTGGAGACGAGCTGCCTGAATGTGAATTTTGCTGGAGGTCGTAACGCATCATCGCAGTGGAAGTGTGGAAATTGTGGCTCTTCATCACACACCACACTCAGCCCCAGCTGCCCAGCTAAAGGGCAGAGGTGTCGCTGCGGCAAACAAAATCATTTTGCCAAGGTCTGCCGCTCTAACCCCTCTGATGCCACCCGAACAACCGGCCCTCCAGCACCAACGACTATCCATTCAGTGAGCTCACCTTCCCGGCCATTCAAGTGGTGCACAGTTGAGCTAGATGGAGTGTGCCTTCCACTGCTGCTAGACACTGGTGCATCACGGTCACTGCTGAACGTGTCCACAGTGCGGCGACTTTTCTCCCAACGGACAATTACGCCCAACGCAGAGGATTTATGACAATGGCAACTCTAAAACTGGCATGGCAGGGACAATATCCTTCCCTGTTCGCTATGGGACAAGAGCACTCACGTCATTCACATTCCAAGTGTCCAAGCATGGAGCTAACCTCATGGGCCTGGATTTGTTTTGTGACCTGGGGTTCTCTCTTGTTGATAACACCGGCTGCACAATCCAAACTGTGGGCCTGTCATGGCAACAACGATGGCCGTCCCTGTTCAATGGCCTGGGCTGTCTCACCACCTTTAACCACCAGCCCCTGCTTGACCCTGCAGTACGACCTGTCATTCAGCCCCTTGCTCTGCGTGATGACGTCTCCACTGAGCTGGGGAAATTACTGGACGCGGGCATAATTGAGCAAGTAGATGCGTCACCCTGGATCTCCAATTTGGTGGTGACTAAAAAAAAAAGGATGGGGGACTGCGCCCATGCATCGATCTCAGGTCAGTCAATAAGGCGGTGATCCCAGACAAGTACCCACTACCCACAGTGGAGGAGCTGACTGCTAAGTTCCATGGCTCCTCTGTGTTCACAAAATTGGACCTCCGCCAGGGCCACCTACAGGTTCCACTACACCCAGACAACTGGAACCTCACAGCCTTTGTCACACACACACTGGGGTGTTTCGTTAAATCCGGATGCCTTTCGGCCTCAGCTCAGCCCCCAGCTGTTTCCAGAAAATAATGTCCACCATCTTTGCAGGTATCCCGGGGCATCTACCTGGACGACATAGTAGTGCATGGCCCAACAGCAACAGTCCATGATGAGCGCCTAACCAAGGTGCTCGGCGTGCTTGCCAGTCACAATCTCACACTCAACGGGGGAGAAGTGCTGACTGCTGATGGCCTCAGCCCACTCCATTCCAACGTGGAGGCTGTGCAGCGCCTCCCGGAGCCCACTAATCCAACTCAGCTTGCCTCCTTTCTGGGGATGACATCTTACTACTTACGTTTCCTGCCCCAATACTCCTCAACCATAGCCCCGAAGAAGGATGCGCCCTGGATATTGTAACAGTCAGAATATATTAGTAGTAGTACCAAATAGTGCCACAAGGTGGTGTCTCTGTTATGTTTAAGTGTGTGGGTGAGAAAGTCTATCTATGTCAGTCATCTTGTATGTCGATCATGAGAGTACTCTCCAAAACTCTAGTGATGAGTTGGTGCAGGATAATAGCCTATTTTTACCTGTCATGTGTGATCAGGATATAAAGTGCCGTGCTGACCTGGCTTTGTATGGTCCATTTAGTTATACAGAATAAAAGTGCCGTGTGGAAATCCCCAACTTTGTCGTCTGTCTAACTGATGCTAACCAGCTATCCCGGGGCATCTACCTGGACGACATAGTAGTGCATGGCCCAACAGCAACAGACCTATTGCCAACTAGCTACACTTCCTGTACCAGCAGCATTACAATATGGACACCAGCCCGCTCTGCAGCAATCTGCCATCTTAAGAAACAACTCATCTCCCCTCCTGTGCTGGCGCATTTTGACCTAGTGAGCCCCACAATCCTGACCTGCGACGCATCCAACACAGCAGTTGGCGCTGTGCTGTCGCAGATTCAACACAACACAGAGCGCCCTATCGCGTTCGCCTCTCGTTCTCTCGCGGCAGCTGAGCAGAAGTACTCTGTGGGAGAACAAGAAGCACTGGCTTGTGTCTGGGCATGTGAGCGATGGCACACGTACTTATACGGCCGGCATTTCACACTGCGGACTGATCATCAGGCCCTTACAACCTTGCTAGCTTCATCAGGCTCTGGCCATAAACCACTCAGGATCCATCGCTGGTCGGAGCGACTTCAGCAGTACAACTTCTCTCCCCAATTCACACCAGGACGGGAAAATGTGGTGGCAGATCTGCTCTCTCGTGCCATCCCTAGCCACCCGACACCAGACATGGGCACGGACCCTACAGAACCATATCTCATATTGATGCTTCATGAACCCCTTCAGACCACAGTCTCGCTCCAAAAACTACAGCTTGCTTCCGAAGCCCACCCTCTCCTCTCCCAGCTCTGCACCTTCATCCGACAGGGGTGGCCTCGGTCAGTGTCAGAAGAATTGACACCCTACCGGCGGGTCAGAGAGGAGCTCTCCTGCTGGAACAACATCTGCATAGCCCGAGAGTTTCGTATGGTGGTCCCCAGCAGCCTGCGACCACTTATCCTGGCCATGGTTCACGACGGTCATTTAGGCATTGTCAAAGTAAAGCAGCGCTGCAGGAACCTGGTATGGTGGCCAGGCATTGACCAGGATGTGGAGACCATGGTAAAGGACTGCACAGCCTGCCTCGTCAGCGGGAAGACTGGCCCACCGCTGACTCCACCTCTACACTCGGTGCAGTGGCCAGCCTTTCCCTGGGACCACATCCAAGGAGACATCTGCGGAAACTTCATGGTGTCCCACAGCACCAGTGTTTTCTTGTTGTGGCATATGACCTTCACTCAAGATGGCCTGCCTGAGCTGCACTGCTCCAGACCCTGCTGCACTATCGAGCAACACCACACTCAACTAGAGGTAGCTCTCCAGCCCGTCTCATAATCGGCCGAGACTTGCAGCTTCCACTGGATCGGCTCCGACCACCTGTTGCTACAGAGGCCGCAGCAGCACACTCGGCCCAGCAGAGGAGGAGGGTTGCGGACAAGCAGAGCCAGATGAAACAGCGGTTTGACAGGAGGAGGAGAGCACGGCCACCCAGTTTCACGGTGTTAGACTGGGTCCGGATTCGTCGACCACACCGGAGCCACAAACTGCTCTCCTTTTGGTCCACACCGATGCAGGTCTGTGAACAACTTGGGGCCGCAACATTTCGCCTGTCGGATGGTTCGCGCTGGCATGCCAGTCGGCTTCAGAAGGTAACGCCGCCTCCTCTTATGCACCCTGATTCCCCAGAGAACTGTACCCCCTCTTACAGCTGGACACTCCACTGGGCACACAGGGACCCCCGACGAGCCAGAGGCTAGGCCAGCTCGAGTCCGGGCGCGGCCAAACTACCTCAAAGATTATGTTACAGACTTTTAATCTACTGCGGGGCCTGTTAAATGGCAAAATAATCCACATGGCTCTGTTGGTAACTGGCAGTCTACCCAGATTACCTAGTTAGGATGTTGTTTCACACATTGATTTGTTTGCTTGTTTTGTGGGTTTTTGAAGGGGGGTAAATGTTATGTATGCATGACAGCCGGTGTGCCTGAGGGAGTTATGACACTCGGCAGCTTTACGGCAGTTTACGTGTTAAGACGGTTTAGATAGAGCGGGGCTCTCAGTGTTATGTGACCCGTGTGTTGGGCTGAATAAAGCGAGGTGTTCAAAGATGTCGAGTCCTGTGAGTCTGTGAA